AACAAATGCAGTTTCTTATTCGTGATCAGCCTACCCATCTCAGTCTACTGTGAAAAAATAGTTTTAGTTTACCAATCTTGTTAAAAATTCACATGCAAAATTTCATCAAAATCATTAATACATTAGAAGAAGTGAAATCACAGTGAAGACTAAGCTTACTCTGAAACGCTGGCTTCATAACGAATCAAGTGCTGTATGCCACTTTCATGTATATCTGACAAAGAACTAGAACTTATGAGCAATATGTTCAATTTTGAGTTAAGTGCCAATTAGAACACTAGGAAAAACATCACTAATACAGATAATTTGTACTTCATGTAAAGTCTGTAATCTTTTATTTTAAAGTTTACTATATATATATATAAAGTCAAAATGTGTGTTTGTTTGCACCCTAACTCTTCCAAGTCTATTGGGCCAATCTCAACCAAAATTTGTACGTAACTACCATGAACTATGGGGAATGTCCTAATGGGGTCAAAATTTAACTTAACCCTATTTCTATTTTGCAAAGCCTGTTGGTTAATTACTCTCAGACTATTGAGTCAATCTCAAACAATCTTGGCAGGTTGACGCTTTAGACAATGTTGAATATTCTAAATGGATTCAAGGTCAAAGTATGAAAGTTGCTGGAGATTGTTTCTCAAACAACCATGCTTTTCTCACGGTCAATGAAATGTAGGGTGTTCAAGGGTGGGATCACCACAGAATCTTTATTTATTGGTAGATGGAAAGCAAACTGCAAATGTTGTTTATGAATTAGTTTTGTTATAATTTATAAATTTTGAGATAAAGTTTATGTTCAAGTTTTTACTTTGAAATATAGATTGCTGTTAAACTTACATTGTTTTAATTAATTTTAAACATTCCCAATCAATTGAAGGGTATTACAGCTTGTTAAAAATATTGCAGTCTAGAACAATATCAACTATCTTACTTTACCCTACTTACATGGAAGTGTTAAACTCTATCCTTTTGCCAAGTTACATCACATTAAGTATGAAATATACACTTTATGTATGAAAATACAATGAAAATTTTCTACCCTAGTTTGGTTTACTTACATATTACGTTTTAAATCTTTTGCTTTTTCTAATCTTACCTTTCATGCCTACCTTTTTTATTTCTCCGGTGTTCACCGATGAAGTTTTGGCCCTTCTTCTTTTTTCACATTTATTATTTCACTTTGTTTTTAAATATTACACAATTTTTACCAATTTATTTTTCATGTTTCTAAAGTACTTGAAATTCACAAATTTCCTATGAAACCTGAAGATTAAATAGCCTTTAGTTTAAAGAATTATTGCACGCACTTCTCATTTTTGACACATTTTCTTAAGTTTAAACCTACAAATTTTACAATAACTTTATATTATCAAACTCACTTGGCCACAAATATAGATGTATAAACATACTTAATTAGCAGCACTTAGGGTCTGTTGAAACTTAACTTTTTGATTTTATCAGTTGTGGGTTTTTATTTTTACTAAAGACAGTTCTCACATATCTATCAAAGAAAATTGCATCACACTCAGAAAATATATGCATGCAATGAAGGTTCTGTTGTGGCAATATACTCTTAGGAAAAACGGGTTTCAAACCATAACATTGCAATTTAAACAAAAGAATGCCTGTATACACATAACAATATCTAAAATGTCTGCCCGCTATATTTTGTTTTTCTAGTTGTAATATTAAAAGTAATTGTACAGTTGATACACTGCTGGCCACAATAGCTATACAAATCACACATCATACATATAAAAAGTTTGCATTAGTTTTCTTTATTTTGCCTAATATTATACAAAAGGGTATGTTTTCTTGATAAAAGGTTGCAAAAATAGCTGAGCTCCATTAGAATTCAAGTATTCAAAGTTGTTACATGTGTACGAGTGGAAAAAAACATGTATGGGAAATTGGTTAAAAATAAGTTTCATTTACTTGTTTTAAATACTTTGATTCAATTGTAAAAACAAATAAGGTGTACGCATTGGAGTACCTTTCAATTACTGCCACATGAGAGCAGCAAAGAAAAATTCAGTCCATCAAGTGTAGCCTTGCTCTTACCTACACATTAATGGCTGTTACTGAGATGAAAACAAGTGTGACTTGTCGGAAAACTAGGCACTGCTCACTCGAGCAAGGAAAAGGTTGGCTAACTGACTTTAACTCAAATGAAGGATGAGCCGAGGAAGGCAGTAGTGAAAGGAAAATTGAGCAGATTGAACAGTGAATGGTGAGTGTCTTGTTCATTGTTTATGTTTGATCACAATACAGGCATTTATCATAGTGCACTGACACTACGAAAGATTATGACCAAGTTCAAGACAATATGCAATGTTTTAACAGTACCATTTCATATAAATTTAACTTTTTGAAGGATGGTGACATCACATCTCTTTTTAACAACACAAATCCTTACACTTATGTATTGTCAACTTGTAATTAAAATGCTGTGATTGTATGCTATACCTGTTCAAATTAAAATCTATTGCAAGTATTCACGTGATGGTAGATTATCAAAATGAAACATTTTTCATTATGTAATAATCACAATTTGTATGTAGAGAAAAAGAATATTACTTTTACATATTTCACCAAAATCTGTATATAAGGATGTTTTCCAACCAAACTTGTCCTATACTACCTTTATATCTCTGCTTATGAAGATTTTGCCTTTTGAACATGTTCATGGAAACCCCCTCCATGTTTTCAAGTGATTGATTGTTAGGTAAGATACTATTATTGAAGTTATATTAACTTCAAGACACACCCACTCTATTCCATAAGCGTAACTTGTTACATAGCCATTAAAAAAAAACAGTATCTTGCTATGCTATGTCACAAAATATGCCAAATAACTTTAGAATGTATGCAAGTTCACGTAGAATAATAATAACAATATGACAAATTTTGTCATATTGTTAAAACACACTGTTTGGATGTGACTTATGCCAAACATATTAGTAGTTGTAAAAGAGTTGTTTTTCTGTGCTGCTATCTGGTGGCAACTATGTCAAATATGTATCTCAATCCTGAAGATGTAAAAAGGGTTAACTATTTATTATTAGGTTGTAATTAAACCAATAAGTTGTAAATTAATCCAATTTTCTTCTAAACAGATCATCAGAAAGTATGATTACTGAAAATACACTTGAAATGTATTATTGAGTTCTTGAAGGATTTTTATCTCCTCTCTATGTTAAATTGTTTTGTTTTCCTTATTCAATCACTGTTGGCTAAACTGGCAAACTCCCTTCTATGTATTATATTTTCCACAGTTACGAATGGTGCAAATTTTTATCTTGTTTCCATTTATACTGTTTAACAACATCCAAAAAATGACTGTGAAAGTGATATCAACAGCAGGAAATGCAACTGCCTAAACTGCCAATAGGCATACATATCAATACACCATAACCCTCGCATACACACTCATGGGATTGAATATATGTAATTCCTTATATTTCACAATCAAAGAATGCAACTGCCTAAACTGCTAATAGGCATACATATCAATACACCATAACCCTCGCATACACACTCATGGGATAAGGAATTACATATATTCAATCCTTATATTTCACAATCAAAGAATGCAACTGCCTAAACTGCCAATAGGCATACATATCAATACACCATAACCCTCACATACACACTCATGTGATTGAATATATGTAATCCCTTATATTTCACAATCAAACAATGCATTCAAAATCCATTTGAGAACTGATCAGAAAAAAAAAACAATAAGTACATTTAAGGTTCTAACACAATAAACTGTGCAATTAACATGTGACATTGATGTGAGACATACATAAGAACTACCAATTAAGACAGTATTAAACACGAAAGTTTTCATTTTAGTATACACTGATAACGGTTAACATGTTTTACATTTTTAATATGAAGAATCAGCCACAGGTGACTTTGGAATAAATACTAGATATTATTTATTATAGAAATCAGGAGATCACAAACAGCAACCATTAATTTTCTAATTTCCTCAAAATAAAAAAAAAATACCAATTTTAAGCTTAATATAAAATAAATGAATTGATCATATCAGATCTCGAAATGCATTTTTTGCTTATAAATCATTGTTTATCTTCACACTTCAAGGATTTTAGGATCAGATTACAAAATTTTTTAGATGGAGATGATATCGGATATCACTCTTAATCGAACTGCACAGTTTGCAATTATACAAATTAGCTTTCCTGTGTCATCACTGTTGATAGTGTGAAGTAGCTTTGCTCAAAGTTACAGTCATAGAGATACAAGTGTATTATTAATTACACTGAAAATGAGAGAAATACTGGAAACAAATTTTTAAAAAATACCACTGCCTATATATTTTGAGACAGTTGTGTACCAACCTAATATATAAAAAAAAAAGAACTTGTGATATTTCAATAATGTTAGAAAAATTTCTATCTTTGTAGCCAAAATATAAACTTTTATCATTTTTCTCGGTTACTTTGCTCCTTCCTAAATGAACAGGTAATACTTCCTGACCTAATAGTTTCTCTTTCCTTTAAAAAGCTCATCAATTATAAGAATAATCTCATATTTATTCTATACACATTGTTGTGCAATTTTCATATTAATTACGTAGGCACAGATAACTGGTCAATTAGTTTGTTTTGTGTGTGTGTTTTTTTTCTACAACCAATTGTGATATACAAAAAACTTAAAATAGATTATGGAAATGAGCAAGAAAAAGTGCATGCACATGACTTGTTTGGATCACGCAGGTTTGATGTTTACAGCTATTACTTGTTTAATTTTATTGCAAGACTCAAATTTCTGAAAGACTGAAAATATGTGTGTGTGTAGGTACAGTTGCAAAAATCCAGTAGCCTGGTGCTCAGGATTACCAAATTTTGAGTCATGGCTACCATGAATTCCATATGTATTAGTCTGGTATGAGTGTGTTCTTTCTGCTTGCATAAACTGCATGCATGTGAGTAAAAGCCAAATCGATATTTAATTATTAAAATGTACAATAATAATATCCATTATTTTGTTTTTTTCCAAACCACTATACACACACTGTTACTAAAGTTTTTATTATATCAGTAGCATGCTATACAAATACACTTGACTCAATTATTTTAATTCTTATCCATAAATTAAAATGTGAAATTATTTAGTTTCATATTTATAATACTTTCTGAGCTACAAGATTGTATTTTACTGGAAGTAGAAGTTATTCTCAATCATCAAAGTTTTATTGCTTCAAGATAAAATAATTGTGTTTAGGCAAGTGGCTTGAACAACCTACTCAGAACTTCTATGGCCTTTTCCATATGTACGACATGAAAAGGCTAGGTGTTTGAATGCTATGTATATAAAAATATTAACCTGCCTTGAGATTTTATGTTTTGGAATATTCTGAGTTAAATGTTATTTTCCATACTTCCAGAAAAACCACTATATCTCTTATGTAGACTTTATAACCTGCCAAAAGATTTCACACCAATGTCACACATGCTGTAGTAAATTGTATTATTTTTAGTTTTGCAATATTATGAAATAAATAATTGCAATGAACATAGGTATATATTTGTAATGTCTTATAATCATTTCATTACAGTGGGAAAAAAGTTGGATTGATACATTTCTCTTGCCTACTCGCCTGGGCTTGTAAATAAAAATAAAATAATAATTACATCCCTAGTATGCGTATCTGTTTATCAGTGACTCCATAAAAATTATTGGCTATCAGTTTTTGAATTCAGAGTTTGTAATTATAGTTTGAAGTTGAAAATACAAGTAACATAAGTCAAAACTAAACCAAATAAATGAACTTGCACTAAGCTTGCAGATTTGGCCAACACTGATTAAGCAGGAGAATAAATTTTATTAAAGAAGAAACTTATTGGTTTAATATGTTCAAAAATGGCTTGAAATCAATATTAAGTTACAATTGTTCTGAGTGGTATGAATTTAGAATTTTTTAGAGAAAATTTATAATATCCAAAACTGCCAATTAATTTTTTTTTCCCCTTTAGAACTCATGTGTTATCCACTAACTAAAAACTAGAAACAAATACCTACATATTCAGAAAACAAAGTATCAGAGACATGGTTTGCTTTTAAAAGTTCAATGAAACAATGCATGCAATTAAGATTAAGGAAGTGTAAAATGATGGGATGATCTCTTTCATTTGTGATTCTATTAGTTATTCCCTCGACACAACAAATAAAAAATATAGTAAGAAGATAGAATATCTTATCTACTTTAGTTTAGTAGTAAATATATTAATGTACAATTTCTGTTTGACAAATAAACAGATGATGAGCACAAAGGTAAACAGCAACAACAATGTGCAACATCTGCCACACCAAATGATAAATATGTAACATGCAACCCATCTAGCTTTGATATCATGCAAAGCTTTTTTTTATAATAAAATATGGATAAACAAATAGTTGTATGATATATGTATTATATTTTCTTAGTTGGTTGCAAATTTTCCTCCTTTTTTTTGAATTAAAAAAATTTTTTTTTTAATAAACTCAACTGACCTTTAGGTTTCAGTTTCAGTACCAGTTCTCCACAGTTGGATATGACGACATCTGTCAAAGGTCGGCTATCTTGATCCACTTTCTGGTTCTCTATCTCCTTGACAACCTCTTCACCAGACATTACGTGGCCAAAGACGACATGGTTACTGTAAAATCAACAAACAATTTATGAATTTTGTGTGTGTATGTTAAGAATAATTTTTTTTTTGCATGTGAATAATTATTATGCTACAAGTTACTATTAAGTGATGAAAACACAGAACATCTTTTTTTTAAATAGGGATTACATCAAATACCTTGAGTCTAACACTCGCGTCTATTTTAAACTTGACTATGAAGTATTACACTTTGCACTTCAATAAATTTATATTTTTATGTAATTTGACTCCCACATTTTCTTCAGATTCTCTTTACTTTTTTGTATTTAACTTTACTGTTCTAATTTATCCAAAGTTTTTAACAAAATCTGTAACTTTTTCACTAAGCTCAAGTACTCCATGGATACTTTACATTTACCACTGAAGTAGGAAACAATAGAAAAAGCCCTTTCTAACATCATTTTATTTTCACTAATCAATCTACAATACAACCACAAATACTTAATTTGCCATTTTATAATCTCCAAGACTTGACTTGTATTTTCTCTATAGGCTGGTAAACAAATCATAACTCTAATATCTTTTACCAAGATTAATTGGATTATACAGCCCAGTGGTGAGAATATGTATAATCATCCAAAATGTTTAGACCTTAAGAAAAATTACTGTCTTAAGCAATTTTATTGACAAATAGTTAGTAATTCAGATAAATAATGTTAAAGTTAATTAAAATTAAGTTTCAAATTTTTAGTAGTACAACAAATTGAAAAAAATAAATAAATAAATTCACAGATTTAATGTTTAAATGCACTAATGATATATATATAAAACTTTTAACTCTTAAAAAGTTCTGCCAAATTAAATAACAAATGGACAATTACTTACCCATCGAGGTGGGCGGCTGGTTGGGTTAAGCTGCATACAAATGAGAGGCATCAGTGATCTGGCCCAGGTGGGCATATATTGACATCCTTGGAACAACCATCCCAAATTAAAGGCCAGAATTCCAAGGCAAGAGAAACCACTCATCTCAATATCACAACAGACGACCATAGCCTGGCAATGGAAGCTTATGGTTCCTGCTCTTCAGCAGAAAATAATTAAAGTACTAAAGATATTACAAATGCTCCACTGCAAGTCTTTAAAACCCATCAGTTTTGGATGAATTTTATAGAACCTAATGACCTAATTTGCACCTATCCCACTGTTTACCCAGAGGTTGTCTGTTTAATATCCTGAACATTAACATTTCATGTATCATAACACATTTTCCCATCACCATTTTGTATTCCAAAACCAGAACAATGCTTACCTTACAAGTCCTTAATTAAAGACTTGTTTATCGAATAGATACGTACATGCTTGTTCGTATACTAAATCTCAACTCTTTCCTACCCAACACAGAAAATGGCCACTTGATACCTTTACATTCATAATGGTAGTAAAAAAATGTATAAGGTGGTTTAATGATAATTAGAAGAAACTACATTTTCAATATGATTCTTTGATGTATACCCCAAAGTACACATGATGAAATCTGTAATGCTTTAAAGTATTAACTTATCTTCCAACATTGAATAAACTTATTCCCATACATATGCAATTGCTCACGTTCTTTACTTTCTTTAACCTTGAGTTTTGTAATTCCACACGAAGGTCTTACAGATATGAACACATTTCAAGTTTGCAGACCTAAAATGAATCCTATAATTAGTAATGTCATGGAAATTTTTTATTACATTTTAACTAAAGGAAGAAAGATTAAAGCTCAAAGATATACATTTTGGCCAATCCCAGGAACAGGGTCTAAAAATAAGATCAAAGACAGTGTGTAAACAATGTTTTCTATTGCTTTATCATTATTAAGTAATTTGTCAAGCCCCATATTACGAACTGTTGTTTATTCAATGTTAACTACATGTAGCTTATATTTTATTGAAATGAAAATAACAATGTTTCAATTATATTTATATTGTTTAAGCTAACTAGCTAAATACTGCAACTTATTATAACAGCTGATTTACCTAAAAAAGCATTACAAAGACTTTTATGTCCAACAGACTTTCTGCGTGTTCTGATTTTATCAATAGGCGAAGAAAGATAATTTAGATTTAAAATTTTTCACATTACATTCAGGTCATGCCTATTTTTTAAAACAATTAGCTAAAAAAATATTGTTACAACATCTGAATCTGATTTAAAAGGCATTATTTTGGTATCTATAAGAAATTATATTCTTTGAGTCTGACTTTATTAGAAGAAAAAGTTAATTCATATTTAAAATGTTTCAAATTTTTTATTATTTTTAGTGGCAAAGGTCATTTATATAATGTATTTCTGCCATAACATTGCTGAGCAGGAAAGAGTTGATAACAGTGAAAACAATTTACTTAGAGAAGAAATTTAAAGAAAATCCAATTCAATTCCACGTTTCTTGCCTTCCAGAGCAAATGCATTTTTTTATAACTGGTTTATAAAGAAAAATTGAGAAGGTCTAGAAATATTAACTATAGAGTCAAAAAATAGCAGATACATATAGCTCAAACCAATAACAGGTTCTTTAGATTACACACAGAGAAATATTTACGATTTTGAAACTACCCTCTTGGAACTGACATGCATTCTAAAAATGCAAAACTATAAACTATTTTTGCCCTTGCATAGAGGAAAAGAAGTGAAGTTTGTATTGATGAGATGGCTGTAATCACTATCTTAAAAGTAAACTTACTTTGGTATGTTGTAATGTGAAACCATTTGCAGACTCATGAGTTAAAAAAGAACAAGGAAAGATTATGTCAGCAATTTCACAGCTATCTTTCAATATCAACCAGACCTCTGATCTTCTATATTTCAAAGTGTATGTAAACTGCCCATTACACTTTACCACGTGTGATATTGAACTATTTAAACCAATGGCAAATTTTATCTATAATAATTTTAATTCATTTAACCTACAATCATCTTACAAAGGGGTTCTATTTCATAATGATGCTACACCCACAAAACATTTTAACGTGCCTTACCTTAATAAAACAAAATAGTTTAAAAATAAAAACAACCGACTTTAAAACACAAAATTCACAAATGAAGTTATTAATCTTATGAAAACAATGCCAGAATTTTACCTCTAGCTTTTTCAAGATTTCAAACAATTGCTTATTTTTAAAGATCTTCTCTTGTCAAAACTACTGAAAAATTTATGTTACTTGTAAATTGAATTAAAATCAAGCTGGAAATTTCTGGGGAAAAACATATGCACAAAGAGTTTTGAACAATTATTTAAATGTTTTTGTCAGTTTTCCTGTAGCTCTATGCAGCCAACCTTGAGAGCCCAAAACCCCCATGCCCTTTCCCTTTAGAGACCCCAATATGCAAAATTCAAACATACATATTATTTTGACTGACCCTTTACATGTCTATATTGTATTAATACAGGTCAGGAAAGCCATTCGTGAAAGAACCCTCAAAACCTCGAGTGTGAAACAATTTAAAACCTAAAAAATAGATACTTAATTAGCATAACCATGCTAATATTCATGTATATCAGTCCTGAGAGCCCAAAAAACCTCTTTGACCCCTTATTTAGAAAATTTAAATCTGAGAAATTCCAACATCTGTATTAAATTATTGTTTTAAGCAGGTTCTTATATATTTATAAAGATTTTCAAACAAATCTGATATCACCTTTATATATATATATATATAAAAACTGGGCCCCTAACATTTTGAAATGTTCAAGTCTCTTCTGAAATTTTCTTTTTGTTTATTTGTGTTGATATGCAAAGCTACACAATGAGCTATCTGCAATTGGCCCACCTTGAGTATCAAAACTTGATTTTGGTGTGTAAAACCCTCGTAGTTACTGCTGAGCCACTAGAGGCTGAAATTTGAGTCAATTTGTCCAAACTTAGGGGAAACTCAAAAATCAAGTAAGTAAGTATAGATACATACATAGTTACACTTGAGAATTATGGTAGAGGTAAAATTCTCACACTTGTATTAGTTATATACTATCATACAATTATAATTTTAATATTATACAATATACGTTTGATTTCCCAGTTGGTTATCTTTAATACCAAGTTTTTTTTTAAAACAATTAATAAATTGTTCTTTAAGAAAACCAAGTAAACAATTTAAATATATACATTTTTTTTTTCCATTCTAAATAAAACTGGCACAATGATTTTGAGTGTAAGGGAGAGTACTCTTAAGATCACAACAACATGAATTGGAAAATATATTTTCTTTATCTTAATGTGTACAACTTGCTTTTTCAGTTAAAATACAACCTACACAAAAGTTTGAGACATAACTTACAAAAATATTCCACTAAGTATGTATGTCTAAAACTTACATGAAAAATTGTGACCCATTAGTATCCTTTCCCCGGTTTGCCATGGACAGCAGAAATGACTTGTCATGCTTCTTGTCAAAACACTCATCTGTTCAAAATTATATGTGCGGGAAAACAAACTTATACTGGCTTCTTCATACAATTTTTTTTATATATATAACTTAACTGCTATAGGACTGTTGCACTATTGCATTGTAGTAAAAAAAAAAACACTGTAGAAAAAACAAGCAAATTTTTGAATTATCTCAAAGTAATTTTGATATTATCAAATAGACGAGTGAAATGATCCTTACCTTTGAAAGTACCTCCATAAATGCTTTCTCCACCAGTTCCATTTCCTATTAACACAAATATAAATACACATTACAGTACTCTGTACTCTAATACCCAAACACTTTATAATAAAAGCAATTTCTGTATATTATTCAATTTTATATAATTCGGTGATGTAGAAATATAAATGAACTAACAGTCCTAAAGTTATCTTATATTGCAATAATACTAACAATTTGAATTTCAACATACCTCAATTGCATTTAAAATAATAAACAAACAGTTTGACAGTTTTCCTGGGATTAGACAACATACAATATCTAAGATATTAGGATGAAATCTTACCAGCAGAGATATCTCCACCTTGGATCATGAAATTCTTTACAACTCTGTGAAAAGGAGATCCTTTATAGTGAAGTGGCTTCTCTGTTGTTTTTCCTGTTCCCTTCTCTCCTGCAAGAAGTTCAGAAGCATTTTCACTTAAGAACTTAATCAGTAAGTTTTGAATTGCATTCTAAAAATTACAAATATAAAGACATTTACATACAGCAATAGCAGAAAGATGCTGTTGTTTCTTAACCTGGCTATGAGATGACAAGTGAATGAGTGTCAGAGCTAATTGGCAAGCTGAAAAATTAACTGTTTTGCAATAAAGAAAGTATAAAGAAGGGTATATATAAAAATAATACAACATTTCATCAAATAAAGTAATAAAATCAACAACTACATAATCTTTACCATCAGCAAAGGCTGGGTGATGAAATCTGATACATGCCAATTCAGTAAAATAAAAGAATTATTCATTTTTTAATATATTACAACATTATCTGTTACATATCATAATATAAAAAGTAAATAAAGTTTTTATGACAAATCTTGCTAAAAAGTCTCAAACATTTTTGCAATGAAACATAGGAATCTAAAAAACATATATCAAGAAAACGTAACATTCATAAATGTGTTAAAAAACAAATGCTGAAGATTATTTAATGTATATATGTTATCAAGAATTTTTATTTTACATACACAGTATTACAAGTTTAAATATATATATATATATATTTTGTTAAACAAGACCGATGTCTGTAGGTTTACTTTCTTCTTAGAATTCTTCTCAAGAAGTCGATAAGCCGTCTTAACATTGTTAGAACAACGGGTAAAAGTTGTAGCTAGTGATGAGTTGGCCGACGCGTTTCCAATGGATGCAGAATGCATTCGAAACGCGTCGGCCAACTCATCACTAGCTACACTAGCTGTTTAACAAAATCTGCCTACAAGAAAATCTGTCACCAAAGTACACCAATATATATATATATATATATATATATATATATATACTAGTAGAAACCAAGTTAGGTTAGTAAACGTACGGTATTAATACATTATTTAGTATACTTATTACTTATTTCTTACTATAAATAAAGACTAACTA